GAATTTAGGAATATTTTACAGCACAATTGCGATGAGATGAGAATATTAGATTTGTGCTCATTTGAAATTTTAATTTAAATCAAAAATTTTAATATGAACATGCTCCATCTTCAATATAAATCTATATACTCTATAAATCTATAAATTTAAACTGTTTTCTTTTACAAAAACTAGGAGTGGCAATATATTAAAATAATTACAGTAAATAATTATAAATATTTTTAATATTTTTAATTCTGTAAATTCAAGAACTAAATGTTTTTTTATATAGTTTACACTCTTTTATTATCAATGAATTTAAATGACCTTTACATTTTGTGATTACAGGGTTTTTCAATTTAATATTTTTTTCAACCATTATACAATTTTTATACATTTTATTGTCTATTATTTTGTCACTTTTTATTACCAATAATTTTCTTTTCTATTTTGAGATTACAGGATTATTAAAAAAAATCTACTCACAAAAAGCTATTTCTATCCAATAAATGTAAAAAAATATATATATATACATTTTAATGTATATACATTTGTTTGTATATATAAAACGTATCAGTTACCTAGCGTAACCTCGGTTCTCTCTAGAAGAGGGAATGAGTATTGCGTAAGTTAGCTTACGCTACGGGAAAGATTTATCTTTTCGAGATATTGAAGCCAAAAATTATCCTTAATTTTGTATTCATTGTCAACGCAGTGCAGCAGCTAGCAGACCTAGAGCAGGCTGTCTGCAGCAGCCTACCACTGAGCCCGGCGTGATGTCACGTCCAATGAAGGGCGCTCGTGCCCTCATCGCGTCTTAGAATGGCCCGCCAGAATGGGCATGGCTTAGCGTATATAAGCGGGGCTCGGAGGCTGTCTCCCTGGTTTTCATCGACTGAAGCGAAAGTCGCTCATGGCGCGAGCACGGCAGGTTACGCAATACTGATTTCCATTACACGAGAGTAGATGTTAAAACTTCATGATGATTTGTACTCGGCTTTCGCCAAGATAAGCACAAACTAAGACGTAGCTTTACAGTAACCTATGCTTCTCCATCCATTTACGCTTCTTTCCATATGGTGAGGTGAATCTCCTTCTGTCCGGCGTTAACGGCTGCAGTGTACTTGGCGCGTCAGCACACACAACGGCTGCAACTACAGTGTGGTCTCCCCACTGGACCAGCACGACAACCGTCTGGATTGAGCCGAGTAGGGGACATCTCTAGGGTCTTCAAGTTGGCACCTTCCGTCCTCAGTGTTTCGTCGACTAGCCCACGACACCTCAAGAGGGCTCGACAGTGACTCTGGCGTCCCAGAGTCACCCCCCTCCGTCCCCAACTCAACTCAGCCCAGCTTACTGACCTTTATATCCCTCCTGCTGCTGAGGTTGCTCCTTCCTCGTAGTTCACATGTGACCTAACCACAATCTCACAATCTCTGCAACCCAACCATACGCGCCAACCCGTTTGACTAAGGCTGTCGAGCCCCACTGTCTTCGTTAAAGTAGGTTCAGTGGCAACGGTTCCGTATGGCATACTACCTACCGCAAAACACAATATCTGCCCAAACACCAACCCTCATTCACGCAATATACACTGGAACGTAATAACTGTAATTACTATGCAAATTATACAAATAAACCAACAGACTCTTCGAGTTTTTCAAGAATTCTACAAAACCGTAGCGTGGCGGCCTGTACACAGCCAGCCAGAATATTTCTGTCTCAACCACAGCCAGTTGCTGCTCCTTTCTGCTGCTTCAGATAAGTTCTTTACTGTGCGACGCAACTCTTGGCCACTGAATCCGACGTCTCTGAGGAACCGGGTTGTAGAGTGTGCCACAAATCCTCGACAACCCACTTCCACTGGATAAACCTGGACTCTCCATCCTCGCTGTTCTGCTTCAGTGGCCAGATGAGCATACCGCAGTTTCTTTCTCTCATATGCCTCATCTACAGCATCCTCCCATGGCACTGTTAACTCTAGAGAGAACCGAGGTTACGTTAGGTAACCTCAGCGAGTGCAGATGGTGCTGAGACCAAACGAGGAGGCGTTCTGTTATATCGCAGAGGTTCCTGGATCTGACACCGCCTTGACGGTTCACGTAGGACACCAGACATGTTGTCCGAACGGACTAGAACATGGTGGTCCTGTATGAACGGGAGGAAGCGCTCCAGCGCGTTCTCGACCGCTATCATTTCTAGGGGTGGGGGAAAAAATCGATTCTTAGATGCATCGCGATGCGGACGTGGACGATTCTGAATCGATTCACAAATATCAAAAATCGATTTTCAAAAGAATTTTTTAAAAAATGTTTATATATATATTTATAATAACGTAATATTGAAGGAACGCAAAAGACGGAACTCTGAAGCGCGGAAGTGCAGTGGCCGGACCGTCTGTGGCGTGCACATAACAGAGACGCGATGGCTGAGCGCGAAATCCAAACACCCTCCTCGTTAAAAGCTGACGTGTGGAAATATTTTGGCTTCTATGAAGTTGAAGGGGGAAAGGAGCTGGACAACAGTCGCACTATTTGTAAGCTTTGTAGAATAAAACTAAAATATTTCGGAAACACAACAAATATGAGAAGCCATATGACACGTTTCCACCCAGAGGAGGAAAAACACTCGGCTGTAACTTACCGGTCGTTGTTATATTATTAATTTACTACAAGTATGCTGCTAGTTCAGGTACACATTTATTTTCCTGTTGGTTCTTTGCAATGTTAATAAAATTTATTGTACGTTAATTCTTTATGGGTCTTTAAAGTATTTATAGTCACACACACACACACACACACACAAAAGATTCAGATAATCGATAATCGCTTTAGCATCGAATCGCAGCCCTCTGAATCGGAATCGAATCGTGAGGTGCCTAGAGATTCCCACCCCTAATCATTTCCAGATAGTTTATGTGAAGGAGCTTCTCTTGGTCTGACCACAGGCCAAAGACCGGTCTGCCCTCGAAGAGAGCGCCCCAACCTGAGTTGGACGCATTTGTTGAGATGACCTTTTGATACGAGACAGCCCCCATCATCACTCCCCGCTGATACCAGTCGGCCGCTAACCAGGGCTGCAGAGCCGTAATGCAGCTCTGAGTCACTCTGATTTGTTTGCACCCGGAGGCCCAAGCTCGGCGAGATGCTCGAGCGTTCAGCCAGCATTGTAGTGGGCGCACGCGCAGTAATCCCAGCTGGAGCACTGCAGCAGCTGAGGCCATACAGCCCAGCATCCTCTGAAATGTATTCAGAGGAGCGATGCTGCCCTTCTGGAAAGACGCGGCCAGGCGTCGAACACGGCGCGCGCGCTGTGTCGATAAACGAGCCGTCATAGCCACAGAGTCCAGTTCTATTCCTAGAAAGGAAATTGACTGGCTGGGCAGTAATGAGCTCTTGGTCCAGTTGACCGTGAGAGCCAGGCTTTCCAGATGACTGAGGAGCACTGCTCTGTGAGATAAAAGTTCTTATCTCTGACTGTGCCAGAATCAGCCAATCGTCCAGATAGTTCATAATTCGCAAGCCCTGATTTCTCAAGGGGGCGAGAACCGCGTCCATGCACTGCGTGAATTTACGGGGTGCTAAAGACAGGCTGAACGGCAGGACAGTGTATTGATATACCTGACCGTCGAAGGCGAATCTCAAGAATGGCCTGTGACGGGGTATTATCTGAATCTGAAAGATCCAGATCCAGATCGAGAGAGATAAACCAGTCCCTCGGGCGAACGTGCGCGAGGATTTTTCTGGTCGTAAGCATTTTGAACGGTCTTTTCACAAGAACTTTGTTCAAATGTCTCAGATCTAAAATAGGTCTGAGGGCTCCGTCCTTCTTGGGTATGAGAAAATAACGTCTGTAAAAGCCTGACTCGCTCAGAGAAGGCGGTACCAGTTCTATGGCCCCTTTGCACAGCAGCTTCGCTATTTCTGCGTGTAGTAGATGTGCTACTTCCACATTCACTGTCGTCGCGGTCCGTGCTCGAAAGCGCGGGGGACGGCGATCGAACTGTAGCGAATAGCCCTGCCTTATTGTGCTCAGCACCCATTCTGATACCCCTGGAATCGCTTCCCATGCTTTTATATGTGCAGCTAGGGGCAGAATGGCCTCCGGGTTCTGATCGCCGCACTGCGTGGGCTCGAGAAACTGAACCGGAGGTATGGCCGCGCGCGCCTTCGGTGCTTGAACACGGCGGCTCGCTGACAGTGGTGGCAGGCTGTTTCATATGTGACGTCCCGATTGCTATGAATGGGGAGCGTTTTGTGATCACTTTGTGATGCGCGAGCAGCGCCTTGGGCGAAGTGTTTATTAGTAAGCGTGAACGTTCGTGAGCGGGCACGGGACTTACATTCATATGTGACGCCCCGATCGCTTTGGATGGGGAACGTTTTGTGACAACTACGAGACGCGCGAGCGGTGCCTGGGGCGAAGTGTTTGTTAGTAAGCGTGAGCGCTCGTGAGCGGGTTCCAGTTGCCGCAGGGCAGCCAATGAGCACGCTAGACAGCCTGCTCTAGGTCTGCTAGCTGCTGCACTGCGTTGACAATGAATACAAAATTAAGGATAATTTTTGGCTTCAATATCTCGAAAAGATGAATCTTTCCCGTAGCGTAAGCTAACTTACGCAATACGAGAGAGCCTCTCGTAAGAGAACTTCTATTTAGTATTAAAAATATATATGAAATGACTTAAGATTTTATTAATTTCCATGACTTTTCCATCCGGGGAAAGATTTCAGATTACATTTTGTTTTATAGCTTTTTTTAGTTGTTGTTTATTTTAAATCTTTTTTTTGTCTTATTTTAAATAATTTTAAGTGATCTTGTGGCCCCCTTGGAAGTGTTCTGAGGCCCCCTAGTGGGTCCCAATCCCCCTGATTGAGAGCCACTGGTCTAGATCATGTTTACATTAAAATAGAATCACAATGAAATGCTAAAATGTGTTTAGTGTGAATGGCTTACCTAGGCTCTGTCCACCGAGAGATCATTCCCATGTGTCCTTTTTTCATCCCTGCTATGTTTCTCTTGGGTCAGGGAGTGGTGTCACCACGGTGCATGGACCCACGTGCCCACATGGCATTGCCTGGACACCCTCCACCCCCGTGGTCCTTGTCCGACTCGGGTTGGCTCTGTGCTCGTTCTGGCTTAGGGTTGGGTGTCATGGGCGGCTCAGGCTGCTGCACCGACATCGTGCGACGAAGGTGTGTGCGCTTACACAAGAAGTCCGGTTTGGCCGAAAGACCAAATGAGCCCTTTCGAAGCACCATTCGCACTGAAGAGGTCTTCTTGGGCCGGGCTCTGTGACTGAACTGCAGGGAGGAGAGATGTACCGCGTAGCCCTCGCTCAGGAACTGTGATGGACCACAAGACATGAGAAAATATTAGAGAAAACTTGATCATTTTTGACCAGTTATGGTGGAAATTGAATGAAAGACAAGAAAGAATCAAAGTTAACCTGGCACTGATTCTGGTACTTCTTGGAGGGCCGTCCAACTATATATATCTGGTTGGGGCTGAGGTCCAGCATGCTGTAGACGGAAATGTCCTTCATGGAGCCGTAGGCACAGTTGATTTTAATGTGACACTGCCAACATGAGAAAAGGTCAAAGTGTGATAGACGGCCTGAGGATACACTAAGAAAACACCTCAGTTCCTGTATGACTACTCATGCGTGAGACAGGGGAAGTGAGCGTGAGAGAACTAGGCCAAGAGATACAAAAAAAGGAATAAAGAAAAGTGATGTTCATTCCTACTATGTGGTATGGTATACTTTTATGTCCCCATCATATATTTCTAATATACACTGTTGTTCAAAAGTTTGGTGTCTGTAACATTTTTTGCAATAAGTCTCTTATGCTCAGTGTCACATAATCCTTCAGAAATCATTCTAATAGGCTGATTTGATGCTCAAGAAACATTTCTTACTATTTTCAATGTAAAAAAATGTAATTGTGAGTAATTTCTGAATTTTAAATAATGGATGTTTCCAATTCTGCCATTTTCTCAGGTGCTTTTGACATGAAAATCTGTCAATTTAATAAACAATTGAAGTGTTTCTTAATTATTTCTTAAATTACAATATTTAAAATCAATGCATGTTTTCTGAAGAGAAACTGTTTTAATTAGTAATCAATTAAAAAAAATATGTCAACTTCACTTTCTTTCATGTTAGTCTACCAAAAGCAAGTTCCTCAATGACATCATCTTCCAGCAAGTGACATCGTTTTTGGTGGCAAGACAACAGCAAAACACCAATAAGTATTAGCAATGTTTTTGATGAAATCTGTGATGTTTTGACTTGATTAGTTGTATTAGTCGGTTCTTTTTTTTTACTCTTATTTTTGATAAAATCACAAAATCTATATAATATGAAATTGGAAAGATGGTTAATTAAACAATAATAAAATTGACACCCTCATTTTAATCCCTCACTGAGCAATGGTTAAATTCAGCTTTTTATTTCCATCCTGTTTGGCTTCCTGTTCATTTTCCACAGTGTACATAATAAGACGTTATGATTCAAAGCACTAGAACGTCTAGTGTACCCATTTATAGAAACACTTACTTAAACTACAACGTAGCCATATTCATATATAGTTCAAAAAAGTACTGAAGAACAGGAATGACCTATATATGTGTGGACACGGTAGCAGACAGATTTACCTCTTGCACCAGGTTCCTGAGGAAGATGGTTTTCTGGCGAAGTGGGTCGTGCACCAACCCCTCTGAAAAGAAGATCATTCCCTGAGGGAAGTTGTGTTGAGACAGCCAGGACACAACCCTCTGCTTCTGCATGTCTGGACGGCCAGTGATGTAAATGATCAGGTAGCCCAGGTCCTGCCAATGCCTGCAATCAATATACTATCATTTACCCTCTGCACAATCCCATGATTTGGGGACTGATTCCAGGATAGTCATAGTGCCTGGTCCTCCAACAACAGATTGCATTTGACAAAGCAGTAAATTTGCCCAAGGACAGTCTGGGAAACAACCCAAGATTGTCCATTTGTGAATCCCAAACCCCATCTGATATCTGGTATCAGCACTTCCCTATCTGTCTATTAAATGAAATCCAATTGTGTTTCACCGGCAGGCCAGTTCTTTTCAATATTGCTATGGCATGAAATGAAAGCATCGATTCTCTCTCACACACATTTACACACAAAGCCACCCAGTGAATTTGTTACCTGACCACATCCACAGCTCCGGGCCGTACTTTAGGGTCACTGCCCATTATAGAGACGCTAGCGGCAAATGAACCGTCGATGCTAAAGACGACACACTCCATCCCCCGTGGCAACACCGTCAGGAAGGCCTCTGCGCTCGTCTGGTCACCCCTGCGAGGGAAGAGGGACATGAGGTGCGAGGAGAACAACGATCCGGCTCTTGATCAAACCCGAGATCAATTTAACAACGAGGAGTTGTTCTCCTTCAGCCCTCAGGGTGAGAGTTTTACGAGAGCCAATTGAACGCTTCTTAGTATCCTCGCAAATTATCCCCGCTGAGACAACCTTGAGATACAGCACTTTTGGATACATTACAAGTAATCTTCAGAGTCCCATTGACTTACTTAACAACCATTTTAATGGGGTAGACTCCCACGGCCAGCTTTTTGGTTTTGGGAATGGTGTAGGTCACTCTGCCACTGCTGTTGGTCACCTCGGTGTCTAAGTGCACCCAGCGACCAGACTGTGGCTGGGTCATCACGTACACATCAACCTGAGAGACAAAACAACAAAGAAAAAGACAGTGTGAAGGAGTGAATGAGATGGAGGGAGATTATTGAGGCATACTAGGGTTTGTCACGACACCAAAATGTCAATTTTGATACCACTGAAAACACTATTTTGCTATTCAAAGTACTCCTTGTTTGGCAAGTTAAATATTAATATACTCCACCGCTCAAAAGTTTGGGGTCATTAAGATTTCTTTTAGAAGAAATTAATACTTTTATTCAGCAAAGATGCATTAAATTGATTAAAAGTAACAGTAACGACGTTATATTGTTACAAAAGACTTGCTGTTCTTTCAAATAATTAAAGAATTCTGACCTCAAACCTTTGAATAGTAGTGTAAATATTATGTTTATTGAGTGCAAATATTATGTTCATATTAAAATTATATAATATACAGTACCGGTCAAAAGTTTGGAACCATTACTATTTTTAATGTTTTTGAAAGAAGTCTCTTATGCTCATCAAGCCTGCATTTATATGATCAAAAATACAGAGAAAAGAAATATTGTGAAATATTATTACAATTTTAAACAATAGTTTTATATTTTAATATACTTTAAAATATAATTTATTTCTGTGATGCAAAGCTGAATTAATTAATTAATTAATTAATTAATTAATTAAAAATCATTCAGAATTAAATAAATAAAGAGAAGTGGTTTTGTTTTTTCCTTGTTAATATTGCTTTAATTAATATTAACAACATAAATAGATATTTTAACAACAATATGAGATTTTTTCCTGACTCTAAACATTTTGCAGCATGTTTACATTAGAACTTCGCCAAGATGGCTTCAAAATGTAAATAATGAATACCTTTGTATTGATGCATCCCTAATTCTAACTGTTTACCTACGTAGCCACATATTACCATAAGGTGCAAGTGCTCTTCAGAGAGAATAGAGTGGGTATTGATACTGTAAAAGATACTGGTAAGGGAGCATGATTTTATTTTAGTATCAACTTGGGGTGGAAGTACCAATACTTTTGAGTACTGTTGCACTGTAAAAAAAAAAAAAAAAAAAAAAAAAAAAAATACTCAAAACCCCCCCCCAATGACATTTATGCATGCAAATAGCTTATTTAAATGTATATTGACAGATAGTGGACCACTGCTTTCTAACCTTTTCACCGGTCAGGGTTACCATATCCAGAGGACCGTACATGAAACGACCAACCAGGGTCTGGTGCCAGTCCTCGGTCGCAATGACATCATTGACTCTGTGGTTGGCAGTGACATTCTGCAGACAGAAAGTGGAGATATTAGGTTGTCTCTGCTTTTAATTTTTTTTATATAATTTGCCACAATAAGAGTAAATGACACTGATAATACGCCATTACTGCCTTGCACCATTATTGACAAATGGGGGGAAAAGAGAAAGGGGCAGTTTCATTTGTATGCAGTACAAAGTCCTTCCAAAAGAGGGTGTCACACTCTAATCCTTCCCTTCTTCAATAAATTTCATTTTAATGATAACACTGTTCTACACAGAGCCCAGTGAAGATAAATCCTACAGCCCCTGCTGAGTGTGAAATGTGAAATTAAAGCAAGCAAAAGACAGAGCTATGCAAATCCTGAGAATAACTGTCCGCAGTCACCTTCATGCCAGCAGAGGAAGCAGACAAACATAGAGAGAAAGATAAACACAAGAAGCCTTTACTCTGCCGCTTTATAGAGCAAAGGCAAGACTTTGAGACAGCGTCTGAATTCACAAAAGCTTCCCCCATAAGCACGACTTAAATGTCCCACTCACACACTGTACCAGCTATTATAGTAAAACTAATACTCTATGCATGAGACATCGTCATACTGATACTTGAATTAGCAAGCCCAACTAAAAAATATCAGTTTAAGTTAACATGTCATGTAAACATTGACAACCATAAATCGCCAACTGTCATTGAAAATTAATAACTTCAGGTCATTTGGTCATGTTAGTGTGAATGTCACTTTTAAAAAAACTACTTAGCAACATGGTCACTTTAGAATGAGAAGCTAAGTACTGTGACTTTGTTAATATTATGCTATCATCTTAGCATGGCATGAGCCCACACAGAGCTGTACAGCCCTGTAAATAATTAGACCACACAAGCTAATGAGACTGATTGTGCAGATTTGTCATTTAATGAAGCGGTTAAACATTACCCAGCTTGCAGCCATTTGCATATTGATCAAGTCAGTCAATAAATCATCTTGGCATGGGCCTATACATGATTGCCATTTGATGGGCTATCCAAACAGACACGTACTGGTGCGATGTGCACACACTGCCAATAAGCAGCACACCGCCATATGTGCTGGTGACACACCTGAGTGGATCTTCAGACACAAGACTGATCCAACATAGGAGCATGTTGCTATGAAGGAAAAGCATGGATTCAGGTTGGTGTCGACTTTATGCCTTGCAGGTCGTTCACTGAGCCAAAATTACGCTGCGTATATACACACAGGGGCGGACTGGCCATCTGTGTGATCTGGAGAATCACAGAACGGCCGGTACTCCAGGACGGCCGGCGGGCCGGCCCACTAGAGGTGGGCAGATCGATACTAATATCGATAATATCGATACCAACGTTGGTATCGGTATTGATCGATACCAACGTTGGTATCGGTATTGATCGATACCAACGTGAAAATATCGATACTTAAGTTTCAGTTTCTCTCGTTTTGCGACCTGACCGTGTTTGTCAAAATGCTGCTGCTGTCACACAGAGCAGAGCAAGCTCTGTAATCCTTCTCCCAAGAGTGCTCTGCTCTCCTCCCCCTCACCTGTGTTGTACCGTTTTTTTATTTATGATTTTTTTTTCAAATCCTGAAAAGAAGTGCACTAAAGAGGAGAAACGTTATTTTATTCTCATTATATCTTATTACAAGCAGAATTTGTTTTACATTTTTTATATTTATTGTGAAGTAAAACTTTGTGACTGTTTATTTAAGAAAAAAAATCCTGAAAAGAAGTGCGCTAAAGAGGAGAAATGTTATTTTATTCTCATTATATCTTACAAAGAGAATTTGTTTTAAATTTTTTATAATATTTGTTGTGTAGTAAAACTTTGTGACTTTGTTTATTTAAGAAAAAAATCCTGAAAAGAAGTGCACTAAAGAGGGGACACATTTTTTGTTAACATGCTACTTGAAAAGAGAATTTGTTTTTACATTTTTTATTTTGTGAAGTAATAATTTTGTAACTTTGTTTATTTAAATAAAACAGAAGTAACCAAAAGTTAATTGTTTCTGAACAGCTTTTGTACTGATTTTAACTGATTAATAACCCAAAATGCATATCACAAAAACAAATTAAAAGTCATGAAAATTCATTTAGATTTAGGTTGAAGACGCATCCACCTTAATTATTAAAAAGTATCGGTATTGGTATCGGTATCGGCGATACTGGCCCTGTATTTACTTGGTATCGGATCGATACCAAATCTAGCGGTATCGCACACCTCTACGGCCCACCACCCGCAGTCACAGACATCCCAAGTCTCCCGGAAGTTCCGGGAGTCTCCCGCATATTGATAGCGCCTCCCTGATGCCCGCAAATTAGTTAAAATCTCCCGGAATCTAGAGCGAGGAAGAGCGCGCATGTGTAGCGCGCGCACGGCAGAGAGAGGGAGCGAGCTAGAGGCCTTGCGTGTGTGTGCTAGTGTGCGCATGAAAGGACCCAACCAATCAATTGTCAGTGCGGGCGGGCTTTTATCTCTACTACTCCCGAACCGAATTAATCAGAAATTACTTTGCAAGTTACTTGCTAGGGATGATGTTAGGAAGTGATATTCAGCTTGCTACATTTTTAATGATTACAGTAGTTAAAACAGCTAAACTTCAACATTTTAGCTGTAAAATGCCACATGCAGTAGCTAATAAGGAATATGTTGTGCTTTTACTTTTAAACATGTTGGTAACGTTACAACTAATGCTTACAAACTTTGAAGATTTTGAATACAGAAGTTACATTTGTAATGGTGTAGCCTATTTTCATTTAGATGTGGTATTATTATTTGTGCAGTAGCTAAGATTAATTACTCCATAAATTAATTAATATTATTAAGTAAGAAATTAATTTTAAGACAGCATGGAATAGATTGTATAATATACTGTTAGCTATAATTTAGATAGTATAGTATCATGAGCCACAATTAAAGTCTTGTGACACTCATGCCAGGCGGCAGGCGTTATTGTTGTTGTTGTCGAGTTTCCGCGCGCCGATTGCTTTGGGCCGGGCCTAGTCAAAGTCCAGGGCCGTTTTTTAGTCCCAGTCCGTCCCTGTATACACAAATGCACAAGTGGATAAAGACATTCTCACAACAGAATCAGGAGTCTTTCGAAAACAACACGACTGCATAGAAACTCCTTTGAAAGGCTAGCAAGAGCTCGGATCAAACTCTATTGAGGCCATCAGCGCATTGAGAAGGGCTCAGCGGGCGGAAGAAATACATGCAATTTCAGATCAAGGTCCTGAGTGATCAAAACACCATTCCCTGTGAAAAGAAAAGGTAGCCGTGATAACACACATAAGTGTTTCTGTGAGCTATACTTAATTTCAGTGAAGGACTGGGAAGAACTGTTTTTTGTTATGGTGGGCTCTTTTGAACGCGAGCCTAACACATACCCTAGTAAGCCTGCACAGGCACTAGTTTACAACAGCACTATTAGGTAATTGTGTTGATGTGCCTCCGAGCACTAAATCTAGGTCGGCTGTGATGCTTATTTTCGTAAAGCACAGATTTCTGCCCACACACACTGAGCTATTGTACCGCATTTGAGAAAGTCAAAGCATTGGCAGAGAGGGGATATATTTAGTTCTTCTACAATGTCAGGACTCTGCTGCAGTCCACATTTTTACTTGAGTGATATGAGTGTGTGTGTACGTCTGTCTGCAGTGCAGACCAGAGTCTGAAATTAGGGGGGGGGGGGGGGGGGGTGGTGATGCTATTGAAAGGGACATACTGTAAACGCTCTGAATATTTAAATGTAGGGGCCAAAAAATGTCCCCAATCGAAACAGCTATTACACCAAATCTACATTGACAGCAGACGTATACTTTACAATCTGACATTGAGAGCAGCCAATTATTTTAAATTAAGCACTGATATTAAAATTCTGCCGCATATCGATAAGCTGATAAATATTTTTATGTTATGGCCGATAATATTCGAAGAATAAAATTATAAATATAAAAAATGTAAAATATTCCAGAATATTCCTTAAATGAATTAAAAAAATAAAACACTAACAATTCAGATAAATCATTTTAATGTGCCATTTCAAGTTGGCAAGAAATGGAAATTTACCCTTTCTATTTTCTAAATGCATATTGTGAACCATTCATCTATATGTTTCAATTTTAAAAAATTCTGATCTCATCATTTTTTAATCATGAAAACTATTAACGTATGGTATGCCAGACTTTTCCAACCATTTCATCCTTAAATTTCTTAACAATCGTCTGCAAGCTCGCATTCAGATTTGTCTCCATTTTTCTTATTGAATAATCCATTTCACTTGGATGTGTCACAATATGCTAAAAAAATTATCTGCAGCAACTTCTGTTACATTGCAATAAGGATCCAACATTGACAGATACAATAACCTATCAGCCGATAAGCAATATAGTACCAATATCATGCAGTGCAATTTATAAGGCTATAAAAACAATATTCCACATATTAGCTTCTGAAAATCAATTCTAAGGGTAAAATATTACCTCCTAATAAAAATATGACACTGCTGCAAACAGATACTTCAATCCAGTTGATATATAACTGATGGCTAGCCTTACTCAGCAGATTTCATGCACAGAGGTCTACAATTAATCACAACAGACACCTATAATGAAGAAAAAGTCATCGTCATCAGCAGGCCTGGGCTAAAGAACAAAGCTTAATGGTGTTTGGAGATCTTCCAATGCATGTGAGGGTGTGTTTTTGTCAGCATGCCCGTGTTTGTCCTTACCCTAAGTTTGACGTGCGTGCGTCTGCGTAGCCACTTCTCTCTTGGGCTTGAAGGGGAGAAGGGGGCAGAGTCAGAGTTGTCTGTCTCTTGGGCTTTCGCATAGTCACAGTGCATCACCTGTCAATCAATCACAAAGTTATTAGCAACCAACCATTACTGTCATCAAGAGGCTGTTCAACCTCTAAGGGAGATTAAAGGTGAAGTGTGACATTTCTGCGGCACTAGAAACGCCACACAGCAATTGCATTTGTTTTTCAATAGGGAATAAGTTTCCTGCTTGCCCTTGGTTGGACAAACATATAATAATCCCACCCTAAATGTACGCCACTGTTAAGCCAGATGCAGAGATGTTAGACAACAGTAGTACTACACATTATACTTGGATAGAAATAATTCAAAATGGATAATAAAATGTCAAGTCATCTAATTTATATAGTGCTTTATACAATACAGATTGTTTCAAAGCAGCTTCACAGTTATAAGGAAAACAACAGAATCAATGATGCAAACTTCATCAAATATGAATTCAAAGCAGCTCTAAAAGTATAATAGTGTAATTATTCAACTCAAGTCAGTTCAGTGTTGGTTCAGTTCAGTTTAATAACTGTTTAAAATGTGTAGTAATGTGTTAAATCCAACTATGAATCAGCAATATTGTCCTTTTTTCTTAAGGAATGACGAGTCAAGCTGTAATCCTTTTCCATCCAAGCGCAGATAATAAGAAATGCTATTTTCCTCAAGGATAAACAACAAAACATTATTTAAATGCTGCAACTGAGCAGGTCTGATTGAATCAAAGTGCAGGTATAAAAACTTCAAATGAAATACAAGTCTCAAAATGTGTCTTTTTTTTTCCTGTTTCCTGCAGCAACATAACTTGCTACTATGAGAAATACACCAACAATCAAAAGCGTTTTATGACCTCTGGTATTTCACGAAAAAGTTCACCCGGTGGATTTGGGTGTAGATGAAACGTCTTTGTTGCTGCAACATTTGAGCCGTATCAAGGGGATCATGTTCACTAGTCTTTCGTGTTACTCTTAAGGCTTGAGGATTTGCTGAATGTAAGACAAAAGCTGCATTTGAGGACATAAATTATGTCAATCTTTGACTTTGATGAAGTTGTTTATATTGTATGCAGACTGTCAGGGAATGCGCTAACTGAATACAGGTGACAAGGAATCCTAAACCAGATTCATCATAAGACAAGATCCAAGTGATAATTTTTTTCCGTTCAAATGACAGTCACAGCCAATCAGAATATATTTAATTGTTTAATATACAGCTATGTGGAGCAGGTAGTAGGAACAATGAGATTTTAGTGATGCTGCAGAAATAGAAATCACATCACGTCTGTTTAAGACAAACTGCAAGTCTCATGTCAATGTTTTTTTTATTGTTAACTAAATTTAAAACCATTTTTTTTTTCTGAAATGAACCTTAATAAATATTAGATTCAAAACTTAAATTTGGAATTGTTGCCTTGCCAACTAACTGAAAATACGTTTTGTGCTAAAATGATATATATATATATATATATATATATACGAAGTACATATAATTAAATAAATGAATAAATATATATATACCGGTATATATATATATATAAACAAAACAAAAAAAATGTCAAAAGCACATAACATTTTTGGTTAAAAAAAAAATGACCAAAATTAAAATGAAAACCAAAAATCTTTATAATTTGTATTAGTAAAATAACATTGTGCCACGTAGCTTGAAGCGACCATAAATGGATAAAAAAAAAAACTAATTTTTCATACTAAACGACCCATATTCAAATCTCTGAATGACTCGACACACTTCAGGGAGACTCCATCCTTTCACATGACAATGTGAAAACTTATCTAAAAGTATAAGTGGTGTGTAATGACTTGATCATGTCAAAATTGTGTCTACAATAATAGCTTTCTCAGGCCCTGGAACACATAATACGCTAAGGAGAGTTAAGACAAAACAGATTAGACTAAATACATAAAACATGAAACCAAAGCACAAACTTTGCACATAGATAACAAAGCACAAACTTTGCACATAGATAACAACACAATCTGGCGCGTGACACCTAAAACGAACACTGCAGCTGGAACTCTTGTCAGCTCTATCTCTCTTTCATGCAGGCAAAGACAATTATGAAGGGACTGCATTCAGAAAGATAGATTGGTCTATGATTTGCCTAAATTGACTACTTCCTCTCCACCTGTGCCGAGACATCTTCTTAAGAATGAATTTAATAAGAGGTGCCATTTGCATTTGACACTCTGAAGTGAAGCCTGCGTACATCTGCATTACGAAGTACATCGGTGATTTGATCTTCAAAAGTCTCTGAAAGTGAAGGATGTGCCACATTTATTTGTCTCTCAGCCAGAGGTTCGGCTGATATGAATAAAAAAGGTATATTAGAATATGATACAGCCCTTCGGGTGAATCGAAATATCCAGCACAAAAGACCAAGAGGAAGTAAGGGGACAGACAGAAATTCTGAGAACAGGGCGTCTAAAACCTTTCTTCCTTCAGTCTTGTAATGGTGTACTAATTTGATTTCTCTAGCACGAGGAGAGCAATAGTCAGGGAGTTTGAAAAGTTATTTACATTTCTTTGACCTTAAAGATGCACAATAAAACAAAACAAAAAATACAGTTTTACAAAATCTGAGTGGGGCTTGGCTGTGAATTGCTGTGAATGTACCTGTCGCAGAAGAAAGGCGACCACATCGGTTGATTCCCAGTAGGAAGCGTGGAACAGGTGAGGCAGAGCCACTGTGGGAAACGCCGTCAGGACGTCCGGGCAGTACAGAGAATAATCCAACCGCTTAGACCCCCACCATGTGCTGGAGACTATCACACACACACATACATTTACACAGCTTAGTTCAAAAGTTTTGGGGTCAGTAAGGTTTATTTATTGTTTCCCCACTTTTAAGTCTGTTTTTATAAATAATGCTCAACAGGCACACTCGCCTCTATTGTACCGTTATATATTTCTCATAATCGTGAGACAGGTCTTGTCAGTATAAAGCAGTGTAAATAAAACTGCCATGTATTGGACTAATAACTGCCACTATGTCCTTTCTCTGCAGCTGAGATACGATCAACTTAAACAGGGTTAAACACACTGCGGCAGGTCTTTTGGCAGCATAGCGAGCTCTAAACACTGCATTGCTTGGCTGGAGAGCAAAAAGCATCTCTAATTATGAGGTTTGTGCAGTATGGAGTAAAGAGTAGGTCTGACGAAAAGATAAAAGAGCTTTAGATAAACTTAGTGAGAGTTTAATTTTGTGCCCGAAGCTCGCCCACCCACTGCCCACTCACTGTTGGCGATGGTGCCGCTCAGCCTGCTCTCCCAGCAGCCTGATAACTGGCTGTCCATGCTGGTCAAACTGGACCTGCGGACCTCAACGCCCACCCGCCCACCTGTGCCGTGTTCCGTCTGGAGAGAGGAGGATTGCGAAGCGCCCACTGGAACTGCACTACCGGGAAGGAACACGTCAGGGTAGCTGTTGATATCGTTGACTGGAGGGAAAACAGATCATGATAGTGAAAGTTGGAAATGTAGACAGATTAGGGTTGGAACGATATAACCATTTTGGCTTCGGTACAATGTCAGCCTCTGGCACTAATATCAAATCAATACCTTAGGCAGAACAAAGAACAGAACAGTCTTGGGTGACTGATGGAGTGAAACAAAATTAAACTACAAATGAAACAAAGCTGCAATAATACCACAGGTCTCCACATTACTTTTTCATATATACACATACATACACACACACACACACACACACACACACACACACACACATATATATATATATATATATATATATATATATATATATATATATAAATGTTTTGGAAACATTAAAAGATTTGAGAATGATTCATCAGTTGGGCAAACATTTTTAGAGATTTTCTTTGATTTAATGGAAAGACTGTAAATATGAATTCATATGAATGTGTGTTTGAATGTGTGTGTGAGAAAGACAGAAATAAAGAGAACTGGATTGATTATAGACAACACCACATCATGACCCCAGAAGAGCCTGTATAAATTGAATTTATAAAACCCTCAGCCACTGCACAACCAAACAACAAAAGCCTCCCTTTCACTCTCAATATAACTCACCATAACGTCAAACTATGTTTGTGCAAGGGATCTAAATGCTTCCTGACAGAGATCTCTTTTCTCCCTCTTTGAGAATACAGAATGACATACAGGCAGAAATTCTTTAAGTGACCGTCCTGGCTAATCTGTCCTTTTATATGCCTGCTGCCTCATGCACACATGGCCTGTTATTTCTGACAGGGGCAAATTGAATCTGTTTTCATTAGTCCAGCAGCCTGTGCAGAAAACATCCCATTAGGCTGGCCCACATTACTGGCGCAACCACATGCATGTGTGAGCTTGAATATCTGTGTGTGACCTTGGCAGCTGTGTGCCACTGACCACTACAGGTAGTAAAGAGCACCTCTCCTCTGTCATTCTAGCAATTGGCTTCTCTCTCATTTGCCATTGGCTCACAAATGGCCTGGGCTTCAGTTATAATGAAAGTCACTGAAATGTGGGGGGTGGGGATGGTTGGATGTCAGGAGCGTAGGAACAATCCGAAAAGTGAGGGGGAGGACACATTATACATTATATCAGCCTCTTTTCACAAGCATGACTTGGTTTAAATGCCTAGTTGCCACGGACACACTACACTCTTGTCCACCTCTTTGGACAAGACATAGTAAACAGTTGCATAGTAATCTGTTGTGTTTACACGCTGCTCGCGAAATGCCACTGTACCGATTTTCTTTAGCCTTATAACAGGCATTATGAGGTTGACAACGTTTCCTTTTGTCAGTAGCTAAGTTTCCATCCAAAGTTGTGAATTTAACTTGTGCGCAAAATTGGAATATGACATAAAACATTTGCGAATAAAGCACCGTTTCCATCCATTTAGTCGAAGAGAACAAAAACGTCACTTCCTGATGAACTGGAGCTAAATATCACCAAAAAAAAATAGGAGAAGTCACTGTGTATAATAATTGTATATATAATTATATAATAAATAACTTGCGCCTCAGAGCACACAGACGAAACAAAATAAACATGTTTTCTTGCTTTCAGAGGCAGATGCTGCTGTTTGGAAATGCAGTCGTGTAAAGGAGTTCTGGGAGGGAATTATACCGAACCACTTTAATGAGAGACTGCTCAGGCATTTCAGAATGACCAAAATAGCATTTTAGATGCTGTGCAACGAGATCGGTCCGCTGGTTAGTCCAGTTATGCCGTCCCATCTCAAAGTCACGTGATTGTTTTGATGCGCATCGAGGAATTTATTCCGTTAATGCGTTTCCATCGTAGTTTATGCGCTTGTTTTCTCATCGGATAAAAAGTTATCCGACTCAAACAAGCGCATACGTTTTTTATGCGCATTTTAAAAATGTATGCGCATCTCGGCGTTTCCATCCACCAGTTTTTGATGCGATATCCCAAAATGTGCATAAAAATAGGTAAATGGAAACATAGCTCAGCTATTTTTTTATATTTTGAAAAAATGTAAAATTCTAAAATCCATTTCAACATAATCCTATTTAGTTAAAAATCTCTTTAAATAGGATAAAAACTCCACAATTGTAAGCTGTATGAAAATCATATGATTTGATTTGCATCTTCTGATTGGTTCTGTGAACTTAGAGGCTTTTGCTGGCAAAGAGAAGTGGCGTTTAGAGGTTTCTGCCAGCGAACCAGTATTTCGTTTTTTTTGCTTTTTTTTTTGTTGCTTTTTTTGAACATGAACATTAGTCAAAAATTAAGTGTTAACAGTGATGTTTTAGTTTTTTTTTTTTACCCCTTATCCCAGCTTAATGCACCCCCCCCCCAAAAAAAAAAAATATATATATATAATTAAAAATAAATAAAAATACAGAATAGCACAGATAAAAGGGAAAATAAATAACAATTACACAGATCAATTAGGAGTTAGATCTCAGAGTAGACATTTAGCAGCTTTTGCATCTGAAGTAGTATATATAGTATCATGGCACGGCACTAATATTAATTTTTATAACGTTATATGATGCAATATTTACTATGTTATGGTCGATTAAACTGATTTTCTGAAAGGCTGAAAATATTGATATATTAATATATATATATATATTTTTTTTTTCTGCTGGTGGAAATCTTACAAAAAAGGAGATGGGACGAGTTATAATGATTGCAACACCCCTGGTAATAGGGGTCAGGAAAAGGGGAAACAGAGGGCTAGGAGATGAGCAGGACAGAGGGCTGGTGGACAGGGAGCACAATCCTGAGGCTGTGTGTGAATTCTAAACAGGGGCAGCCCTATCAGTGCTGGTCATCAGAACGAGCTCCTACGATTTTATTGCTTTCCAGTCATGCTGACATCTCTGAGAGCTGGGCTAAGGCGTGTTCAGAATGTGCTTATGCCCGCTCCAACCGTAGCCACAAATCTGCAAAGCTCCAGAGAGCCAAGCGCTCTGCTCTCCTATCTGGGTACGTTTTTGTAGAGTTAACCCCCACAGTCTTTCAGCTTGACCTTTTCCAAGGAGTTTTTGCTGGGCGCAGGTTGCATGGCTGCTCTGCTTAATTTCTCATGTCACTAAAGGCCCCAGAGCCAGACGCAGAATACAAATTCACAGGAGCTCTCTCTTCAGAAAGCGTGGACTGGAATCAGACAGCACCATTACACCAATCCTGGATGAATACAGGAAACAAGACTGCTCTTTATGCAGACATGAGGAACGGACAGGGAGACTGATCACATTTACGATACAGAGTTCATTAGCGTTACCAAAGCCATCTATGTATGTGAGCGATGGGCTTTTTACCACAAATCTTACTCAGTCTTACCAAGATGAAGCATGCATATAGCAAACATATTCTGTTGTGATCACGACACTGTTGAAAACATTTAAGTGAGAGATTAGTTTGACAAATGAACAAACACTTGACTTGTGTACAGCAAGAGTACACAGATGCCATGCTAATACATCAAAGAGGATAACCAAAAATATATAATTAAATAGCCACTTCCATGTTCATGAGTCATCCATTCAATTATAATTGACAAGTGAGACATTAACAACAGAGAGAATAAGAGATAGGGGATAAATGAAGGGGACAGAAAGTGAAACCGAGTCTGTGAAAGTGACAGTGCTCCAGAATGTGACCAAAATGGTTGCAAGTGCAAAACAAAATATAAATGCTATTCAAAATTACAGGTACATTTTATTACCATCAATGTAGTGTGATCAGATGTCACTTGGTCATCATTAGAGGGTATGTGCACTACCGTTCAAAACTTTGGAGTGAAAAAGTTTTTTTACAGCCTTTTACAGACTTTTACAGCATTCCAAAAAAAATATATATTTCGAATATATTCTTTAGAACTTTCTACCCAAAGAATCCTGAAATGTATGTTTCTATACAATGTGACACATTTTTACTGATCCATGTTAATGAGGAGGTCTTCTCTATGTGAATTTTTTCATTCTGTTCTATTTGGCTTAATTTAACAAACACAGTGGACCCAAGATATCCGAATTGCAATTTTTTTTTTAATGAATCAATAATCACAGATGATTCTAATAGTTATTGCTTTGATTCAATCTAACGACTCCCCAAATCACTGACTCAGTTGGATCAGTAACGGAGTAAACAATACACAACCATGAATCGTTTCCAGTCAAGTTTGTTTATATGAGCTTACAGAGACCTACATTTACCAACATGTAATTTAAAGATACACAATTGTATTATTTTGAATTAAAATGGTAAGCATATGTTTGGTACATTCTTTTACATCCCTTTCTCACAAAACATGTCAGTGATTGCTGGTTAAACAGCAATACACTATACACCAGATGTGCACAACTCAGCCCTTCCAACTCTGCTCCAACCCACATACAGATAGTTTTCAAATATGCCTGAAGGACTTGATTAGCTAGTGCGTTTAATTAGGGTTTAAACTAAACTCTGCAGGGCTGTGGCTCTCATGAACTGAGTTTTTCACCCCTGGTATACACTTGAAGAACACTAATACACACTATACATTTAATGAACTGCAGTGCGTAAATAGGAATTGTATATGCACTTCAATCAGAGCAAGACAGCGCTTCCGAATATCCATCTATATTGAGTGATTATATAATATTTAAAACACTTTAGGAGCCAGTTTAAGTCAGGTACCCTGGCTGAAGGTCAGAGACATGATGGCAGGGGTGCATCACTCAACCTTTAGGCGGGGGAAAAAATTGAAACATGCACTAGAACGCAATAAGAGAGGTCAATTGAGTGAGAGGTCTTGCTCAAAATACAGGCTTATTGGACTTGAAAGTGATCGGGCGACTCAGAGAAGATTGAAGACTAAGGCACGGCAGGATACAGCATTTACTGTGCTGTAGAATAACACAAGAGAGACCTTTGAGATGAGGCCGAGGTGGTATATGAGCTCTGGGCATGAGGGGCTGAAGGCAATATGGAGAGGAATACAGAGTTCAGTGGAAAGAATCATGCTGCTCTTCAGCGTAATGAGAAAAAGAACTCTGTGATGTTGCTCCACATACGGCTTTAGAATCTCACTCCCCAGTTTTCAACTACTTGAAATGAATGGCTCCGGATTTTCCGGCCGCCAAATGAAATGAATCAATCCAAATGCTCAGGAACAGCATAAACAGGAAAACAGATGGATATCAGATACATTTCTCACATTAAAGGCCCGCTGAGTAAATCTGTAATGATTCATAATGAAAGATCCTTACACATGGGAGGCCGTTCCAGAGATACTCCATTAGGATGGCAATTATTAACTACTGCATTAAAACAGAGCATGTGTGAGTGGTGTGTGAGTGGTGTGTGAGTGCATGCATTAAATTAGACACATCCACGCCTCGGTATCTAACAAATATTCTGACATTCTTCGCCTATGATCAGCAGAGTGAGACTTGATATAATTAAAAGTCAGTGTCACATTTCCTGTGAGACACAGACTCTTTCCTCTCAATGGCTGATGCCTCTCTCTGTTGCATTGTGCTGATGAGGGTTATAATCCTTTTTTTTTCAGGAAGATTGCACAGCTAATACTGTATTTGCTTTCCTGTCAAATGATCTTTAAAACAGCTTATTTACGCAACATATTTGGAGTAGAGTTTTTTTGTTTCTCGAAGTTATCTTCAAGATTTTCAGATGTTTACTTTTCATTATTTCAGTTCATTATGTTAAATCAATGTTTTCATCTTAGTATGTTTATTTTTGTTGATTGTGTTTGTTTCAGTTCAGCCACTGTTATTAGTTTCGCTTCACTTTAGTTCTCCGTTTACTTTGTTACTTCTAGTTCTAGGCCTAGTCTAGAATATAGGATGAGCCTAAATTGGATGACATACACCAATTAAATATGTCTGCAAAGCAGGATAAAATATGCTCTAAATAAATCAGGACCTCATTACAGGGCGAGACACCAGCCTGCAGAACTTGGTAAAGCTCCAGGGAATCTGACACAGAGTAAAATAATGTAAGGCAGAGCATTGCTCAGGTTAGCAGTTATCTGTCACCGAAAAAATCCAGTGAGAAAGACTGTAGTTTCTTCCCAAGAAAACATTGTTAACAACCGAACAAGAATCATTCCTCAAAATAGCACATAATTTGGCAGCCCAAGATAAGCGCATTACTGTGACAAAGCAATTATGAAACATAATAAAAGGAACAAATGAGTGAATATCGTGCTTTATTTGTGCATGTGGTTTAGCGGTGAACAGTTTAATTGATTCTCAACAGGATATCTCACTCACCGATAAGGGTGGAGCGGCCGTCTCCCAGAGGGTAGCGCTGGTAGCGAGGCACAGGGAACGGAGGCAGTTTGTGGAATTCGGAGTGTAGCAAGGGCTCCAGTCTAGAGGCCGACGGGTCAGAGGGGTAAAACAGGTTGAAGATCTGTGAACATGCAGGCCGGAGCTGAGACACTGCAGGACAAAAAGAAAGGATAGAAATGACTAACTTAATTGTAAATATGACTGAGGAGCAGGAAAATCTAATGGGAATGCCTGCCAGTGTATCAAGAGGACAATGTGTTCTGGTCATTAATAGGAGAATTTCCACACCAACCCTGAACGGTGGGAAGCACAGTGCGTCTCATGGCTAGCACCAATCCAAGAGGACAGCCCAGCAGAAAACAATCCGACACCTCAAAGTCAAAGCGACCTGGATTCAACATTATACTGGTGCTGCTGCTCGGTCTCAGGTCTGTTCCATCCTGTATCAAACTGAATACACATACATAGATGAGATTTACTTCAAAAGTTACACCACAGAGTTTTTGCCTTTGGACGACTCTGAACATTCTGGGAGTTGTTTACCTCGCCCAGAATACCCAGACAAAACAAATCTCAATACACAGTTGTGCTCACAGATAGTTTACTTGCTATTAAGGGCTGTTGTCTGTTGTCAAAACCTGGTTCTCGCTTCGGCAAATCCAACAATTATTTCTTAATCAAATTGTCTGAACCAGTTTTCTTTGAAAAATGAAAAGAAAAAGAAATGCGGGTCCTGATATAAAATGTTATCTAACCCCAATGGATTACAGCAAGAATCTTTCTGTTAGACCATCAACAAGTAGTTCCTCACTGCCTTTCAAATCTCCACTCTTTTTGCACATTGTTTGTCTTTATTATCATCACTCTATAATTGATGACAGAAAATCTCTTAAAGACTCTGACTGGCTATCTCACCTCAGACTGAGTGTGAAAAGGATGGGGTGTACAGGGCCCCGGGGACAGATGATTGGGAGTGAAATGTGTAGTAGAGCTGAGGGGTATGGATGAGCTAAGTGATAAGTCTCCCTCAGGTCCAGCGCTATCAGTCCTGGGTGAGACTCAGTGCTTTTGTCCGGCATTTCTCTAAGCGGCCCTATAGTGACTGCACAAAGACCAAGATATAAAAAACTATGGCAAGATAACTTGCAATGCAAGGGCTAGTAGTGAGAAGGTCGGTAGATCAATCATCAATATCAATCACTAGGCCAACCAGCACCATGGTGCCCTAAAGCAAGCATTTTTATTGTAAAAAAACCCCAATTTTTTTTGTTTATTTTTGCATATCAATATGTATTTTCTAGATGGCAAATAAAATGAGTTTGAGCTAACAGCAAATTTATCAAAATATTTAAACATACATATAAATATACAAAAATAGGTTAAACATATATCATGTCACATTTGACAAAAGATTAAGCATGAATTATCAAATGAAGCACTTTTCCCAAAATGACACCTGTGGGGTAAAGTGTGCCAGATGCTTCCGCATAAGTTTTGCAAGTTGCTTAACTAATAGTGATAGAAAGCTTTGCATCCAGGACATATGAAGTAAAAAACATGTTGAAAATATCACTAAAATATCACATAAAATATACTGATTATTACAGTATAATATATACTATTAAATATTGCATTTTGAATATTTAAAAAACTGAAGTTTAATATTACAAATTACAATATATATGCAAAATATGTTGAAAATTGTTTCACAACATTAAAATTTTCACGATAATAGTATAATATCATCATTAATAAATACATAAATACTGTAAATAAATAGTTTTAAAAAATGTTTCACAACTTTTAGAATAAAAATATTGATTATAATTTTATATTATAATATCATACAATATTATATTTTCCTGACTGGCTTATAGGATTCAAGATTTTGGGAAATTGCAAAGAGCTTTTTTAAAATAATGTTTTTATTCTTATTTGTGATTAAATTTTATTTATTCTTAATTTATTCTTCAGTGACTTAATTTACCCCTCGACATGACACAGCTTAACCCTAACTCAAATCTGCACAAGTAGACTACTTTATTTGATATGTAATTGTATGCACAATGACATTACAAGTTGCTAGCTCTAATTGAGGGTAAAAACACGGAATGCTACTGTTTTAGGAACTATTTTAATAAAAGAGCTGTACTGAAGGTTTGTGACAACAACAGTGCTGAGAAATCTCTCTTGACACATCAATACCATAAATAGGATCATTTAGAAGATAAACAGTTGGATGTTTGGACCTTTGCCGCCGTGGCATTGAGCAACTTCTATTGAAAAGGCATCGTTCAGTCTGCGCCTCATTCTCTCATACAGTACTTGAACACTGACTGCAGCTGTGACTATTAATAGCACTGCAGCACACAACATGCCATCGAGCAGCCAATATTGATAAACAGAAATGGGAAAAAGAGTGACACATTTATAGATGGCTTGGCCAGGGGGACACATCTGGGTAATCTTGTTCCGATTTCTTCTTACCAGAAAATAAGTACATTCATTGATAATCCAAAAAATAGAGAATGACTAAGGATGCTGATCTGCCCCCCCAAAAAATTATGCCAGTTTACTTCTCTTCTGCCATTGTTTGAACAAAAACATAGTCCCACCTGAAACTCGCTATTGGTTAGACAGATGTTAACATGTCAGACTACTCCAAAAAACAAGAGCAATGCTGAAAATGCCTCTTCAGGGATTGTCTCTGCATGGAGAAAATATTGTAATAGAAACACTCACTTATAGCCTCATAAAACAGCATTTGGTCTCTGTTCTTGTATGCTGTACCTGCTGAGGAATGAGTGGTGCTGGCTGCCAGAAGAGTCTGCATCATACGAGTCGCTCTGTTTGCGGCTGAGTGGAGTTTTCCTGTTGCGGGTCTCACTGGGGGCAGATAGGTCGATGTTGCTCCTGCTAAGACGTTTGCTGGAGCTCAGGCTCGGACTAACCTCAGGGTTATCCTGAGTGTGTGGAAAAAGTGAGACAGCAGGTTGAATAGAGTCATTGTTTATATAATTGTGAAAATAATATAAGTGAGTGCGTAAGTAGAGTGTCCAATAAAGTCTGCCTGGTGTGACAGATGTTCTGTGCTCCCTGAAGATCACAGAAATGTGATTGAAAACCCCACAGGAATTTGCTCAGAAGTTGCTCCTTCATAGCTCAGAGGACTAAATTGAGCTCTTGGTGATGTTTCATCGACTTTGTCTCAGAGCGCTCAGAGATAGAAATAGACACTAATGAGACAACTGTCGACATTCAGAGTTAAAGCTATAAAATAAATGTGGATAGAATAGCTCAGATTATTTTGCTATGAATTTTAATGAGACATTTTGGATATTGAGATATTAAAAATTCAGGATTTGACATCTTGGCATATCTTAGCAGAGTGTGCAACATTGTTGAGATCTCATCTACAACCTTAAAGAAAAAAGATTTGATACTAACAAGGGGAAAAAAACAGAAGCAGAAGACTTAGACTTGAACAAAAGGGTTAGTTCACCCAAAAATGAAAATTGTGTCAGTAATTACTCACCAAGACTTTTGTTCATCTTCGGAACACAAATGAAGATATTTTTGATTAAATCTGAGTGTTGGCTCACTCCTTCATATGCTGCTAGGTAATTGAAACCTGCCGGCCCAGAAAAGTTAGTAAAGACATTGTTTGTTAAAATAGTCCAAGTGACTACAGTGGCTCAACCTTAGTTTATCAAGCGACGAGAATACTTTTTGTGCGAAAACCCCCCCAAAAATAACAACTTTATTCAACTATTCATTTTCTTCTGTGTGGCCCTCTGACGTGAGTTCACGAGAGCGCTCCGAAGCATGCGCGAGAACTGAGAAGATGACGCTCACGATCATTTGATGGGAAAGTTTGAAAGGTAAGCCATTCATTTTGCAGCATTGGTATGGCACTTTTACGTTTTCTCATTGGTTTCTCAGGAAATGCACACTTTAGAACCATTTTAAACACTACATCGAGACCCATCTGCGTCATCTTCTCAGTTCTCATGCATGCGTCGTGGCGCTCTCATGAACTCACGTCAGATGCCCACACAGAAGAAAATGAATAGTTGAATAAAGTCGTTATTTTAGGGGTTTTTTGCACACAAAAAGTATTCTCATCGCTTGATAAACTAAGGTTGAGCCACTGTAGTCACTTGGACTATTTTAACAATGTCTTTAATAACTTTTCTGGGCTGGCAGATATCAATTACCTAGCAGCCTATGAAGGAGTGAGCCAGCACTCAGATTTCATCAAAAATATCTTAATTTGTGTTCCGAAGATGAACGAAAGTCTTACGGGGTTGGAACAACATGAGGGTGAGTAATTTTCATTTTTTGGTGAACTAACACTTTAAGCAAATGCCTCCATTTATTCTCCAATAACATCTCTTTGCAGTCTAAGAGATCTCAATTTTAGGGATACAAAATATATCAGTAATATATCAGTATATCAGATTTGTAAGTTATCGGTATCAGTCGATACTGGACATTTCATTGAGTGTGACATACTCGAATTCCAGTGGAAATTCACCAGTACCACTGGGATTAAAAACATTATTACAAGCTTACAGTTTTGAATCGAGCTAAGGCAAGCAGATAGTTTTGAACACTGGCTGGTTATGTACTTGCTCAAAAATTTATTTTGGATAATTTTTAACCCAAAAAAGTTACGGATTGGAGCTTTAAGAACATACCTTTAAGCTCTCTGTGCTGTTATGTCGGCTGGTGTGTCGTGGGCTGTTGCTGAAACAGAGAGCGTCGAAACACAGCACACCTCCCACACAGTCACCCAACAAACACACCTGTACAAAACACACACAAATTAATTCAGCCAGAATCAGTGCAGCATTATTGCATGCAATCAACACCGTCAGGCAAATCTCAGGATTGCATAATGACAGCTCAATCTACAGTGCAGCCTGACAGTAAATAACACGTTTAATTAATTGCACAGAAATAACACAGCGGCAACTCTAGCGCTTTCCTATTTGATGTTGATGAGCACAAATAATGTATAGATGCTCCAAAAACAAACAAATCCACAGGTCTAATTATCAGTGTCAGCAACAGACAAGTCTGCGCTACACTGTAAATGAACTACACGGCTATGGCTATGTCAAAAAGCACACCAATATTTCTGCAAAACATGAGGGCTATTATGCTATTTGAATAGTCCGGCTCCCTAGAGAGTCAACACTTGACACACAGCTCATAAACTGCGGTCACCACTTTAGGAAATCATTGTGCCTCCTAAATTGACAGGAGTGTGTTATTGTATTAATCATGCGAGATTATGGAGTAAGATGAGTGGAAAGACCCCCTCCTTTTTGTCTGTTTTGAATGACTCATCACTGATGAGTCACTATCCCTGCCACAGACCCACACACCCTTCCCACTGCTGCTCCAGACAGCATTTGCCTTCCTAATACTGATCTGGGACTGCCTTCATCTGCCTGTTTGGCCCAATCTCAATTGTCATGGAAAAACAGTCAGGGTTGAGATCAGATGCGATCACATTCAGTCACTTTTACCATTGCCTGCCCCCTTTTTTGTGGTGTTGGTTCCAGACGTACTATTTACATTAATTTTTCCTATAGGTTATATTTAACAGGTTTAATGAGGGAAATGATTAATTTAAAGTTGTTGATTATATAAATAGAAACAATACATTTTAAGTTTATAGCAAAATATGCATATACAAACAATTAAGTATTTTGAGAGAGTAGCTGTTAAACTGTTAAACACAATTCTGATAATAAGTTGAAATTGGGAGTTTTGCATGAGGATGGAAAAGTTTTCACTCATGCATGTTTCACTCATGTTCAATTTATCACACAAATTTGCCACATTGACCAACAGAAAGCTGCTTGGTTTGAAAGGGACTTCTGTGTGAGAGATGCTTTATGCATGGACCTTTTGCCCATGGCTAATAAGACCACAACTTAATATTGTTGGGCACTCCTGAACTCACCTGCCCTGTGAACCCCTGTCCCTCTGGAGACTGCAGAAAGCTGTGGTACACCTGGTTGGCCCGGGAAATCACCGTCGCGACGGCATCTTGGTAGTGTGGAGCAGCTATGGCGAGCAGTGGTAAAGCGGCCAGAGGTAGATGGTCTACACTGCTAGACACGCAACTCTCATCGTAGCTATAAGGGTTCAGACTGTGAAAGAGGAAAGCGTGTTAGAGTCCATACTGATGACCCTGTGACAAAGCAACTGACACAAAACATTTTTGTTTTGCTACTTTTCCGAACTTTAAAAGATTTAGTTCTCAAAACACTACATCAGCAAATTTAATGATGGCAAAATTCCATCTTAACATAGTAGCCAGATTCTAGTCGGCCTAAACTAGACATTAGCTAATCCAAGCTGGTCATACGTTGGTACAAGTTGGACATTAGATTAATAACCAGCTACTATGTTACAAAAACCAGCCTGACCACTTTAAGTTATAGTAGTAAGATCAGCTTGTAGCTGGTTTGTTGTTTGTCCAAGATGTATACCAGCTAACAACTAGCTCAGGCGAGCTAATAACCAATTCGGATGAGATATTGACAAGCTCAGACTAGTTGACGACCAGTTTTGACTAGCTAATGACCATCTTAGACAAACTGGAATAGCTCATACTACCTAATTACCAGCTTTGACCAGCTAATGACCAGCTTAGACCCGCTGATGAACAGTTGTACCAGATAATGAGCAGCTTAAACTAGCTAATAACCATTTTAGACCAGCTGAAGAACTGTTTTGACGACCTAATGACCTGCTTAGACCAACTAATGACCTGCTTAGACCAGCTATGACCTACTCAGACCAGCTGATAAACAACTTAGACCAGCTACAAATGGATTACCATGTTCCAATATATTGCTAACCGCAAAGAAGTTGGATTTTTCAGCTGATGATTAAAAGCGTGACTCAGATCAGAGAGATGACGATGATGCAATTCGACAAGAGGAATTACAGAGCTTGTCCAAGTACCACTGAGCAAGCCGAGGTGCTTTATCATGCTGCACTGCATGAGTCTGCATGAGCCCACAGCATAAAAAAGAGAAAAGTGAAAGATCGCCCTGGCCCAACGTTATCACCTTGAACAGCTGTGCTAACCCCAGAGCCATTGATCAAGCACAGCGATTAGTGACCCGAAGGCTCTGACAGAGAGACACAGCAGTGCTGGGGCAAGAACTCCAAAATACCTATACCTGTTTGAGAAGAAACACCAATCAGTGGTCTAAGTGGTCAAAACTTACAAATATGGCTTTATCTGGTTTGACAAACTGCCCTTAGTTAAAAACATTATAGTTAGAATTTTAAATCTTTTAATTCAAATTCGAATTGCAATTCTGGATTCTGTTTGCTACCTCAATTCAAAATCTATTTACATTCAAGTACTGATTTGAAATTTAACATGCATTCTCAATTCTAATCTGAATGGTGCCAAACCCTGGCAACAAAATGGCAGTGATGTGCAGAGCGAATATATGAAACTTCCCAAGTGTGTAGTTGTGATAGGCTGTTGCTTGGCGAAGTGTGGCACAGGCTACTTGTGATAAATGACTGTTGAAGGTGATGCCTCCAAGTGGAAATGAACAAGTCCCAAATGGATCTGTCTGCTCGAGACCTGAAATAGTAGTCAAGCTCATTTTATCATCCTGTTGTCTGGGGGAAACTACTGTATGTAGCTGAAGGAAGACACAGAGGAGTCACTTCTCTGATTATAATGATAACCCATAAGCTCATTGTAATCAGTCTTCGGGTGACATTGCCCAATGTTCCACAAAAGCAGGTCCATTTACAGAGAAAGTCTGCTTCTCCTTTGTCCCTCTCTTATGATCTTCTTGTAGTATTCTTCTGATAACATGCAGAAATTTCCTCCAAACTGTGCTCTGGCCACTGATTTTTACCCTGACTCCTTACAAGGCTAGGCTAATGCGCTATGACCCAGTGTGAACAGTAGTTCCTGTCATGTTTACATGAACTCTCCTAGCTGGAGAAGGACACAGCCATTACAGTAACAAGCCTGCAGACCAGGGGCCAGCCCTATTAGACACGCTCCACAGCAGGAGAGGAGCACCTCCAAACCACTCAGTATGCCCCCTAACCGAATTTATTATTTATTTACACAGTCTTTAATTAATATTTGGCCCATGCTAGCAGCTGGCACTGTTGCTGAGGTGCTGTTTTACCTCACTAATATGAATATGCCAGGCTGGGTAATGAAGTCTAACAACCTGTCATAATTTTTAAGGGTAATGACTGAGCTTTCTGATACTTTTTAGTGTTTACTTTCAATAAGTTGCTCTCAAGTGTAGCTTTGTAGGCTGTCCATCACAAATGGCTGTCACAAATTCAAATGGCTGTAGTAAGACAGAATAACAACAATAAACTGTAAAAACAAACCATGTAACAAAATGTAATATAAAGAAAACACTAGGCCTATGCTAAACTAACATGATACAGCAATATTTTTTCAAATATTTTCTGTGCTGCGAATGTTAGTTATGCAGTTGCTAATGTATTCTGCGCAGTTTCAAAATGCTGATATTGTTGCTAGGGTGTGCTAGGTGGATACTAGTGTTCTAGGTGGTTACTTCAGTCAAAAGAGCCCATTAAGCCCAGGCGAGTCTCAGTTCCCTTCTTCGCTAGGTGAGAATTTAAAGTCAGATTGCTTTGAAAAGTAGTAGCACACGTGATTTGAGGTGTTATTCATGTCCATGGCAAAAACAGCATCTTAAGAACTGTTTTCTGTCAAAAATGTCTTTATCTTAGAGCCACCTACACTCTTTACCTGAGGGACCTAGTAAAAAAAAATTCTCACCAGAAAAAAAAAATGTTAGAAAGAGGGATATAAATTCAGAGAGAACAAGAAAGAGAATAACCATTGAACTTTGCTTTTTTTTCATAAAATATTGATTAGAGGATCTAGTCCCTTTCAAGAGGTCTCTCGTATTGCGTAAGTAGCTTACGCTATGGGAAAACTCCTTTTCTCAACAATTTTGCAGCCAAATTTTTAAAACGCAGTGGAGCTGCACAGCAGACACACAGCTGAGAGCCTAGCACGCTCATTGGCTGTTCTGCGGCAACTGCATGAACCTATGGCGAGGCGACTCAGGCGCACGAACCAATCAGGCCGCGTCGCGCCCAGGCATGTCAGAGCCCACCAGAATGGGTGTGGCTTATAGCTATATAAGCCCCCATTCTCGCCATATAATTCAGATTTAATCTCCTTCAGCAAGTCTCCACTTCGCTGACCTCCGGTTTAAGAAGCCTTCTTCACCGCCGTCGGAAAGCCTTCAGCGGATCAAGCCACCTGCTAAGCAGCTCTGAGGACGCCTTCAACCCGTTGTTCTGCTGTGCCATCCGGTGCGCATATATCCTTTTAGAGCTAGTGTGTTCGCCGCTGCGACTCACTTTCTAAAAGAGCAAACTCTAGGCATTGTTTCAAATGCCTTGGGTCACCTGTGCCTCGTGCAGAGGCCCTCTCTTCGGCAGAGATCGTCATATCCTTTGCGCTTCCTGTTTGGGCCATGACCACGTGGAAGCTGCACTCTCTAAGGGTGGCTGCCCGGAGTGTGATGAGATGGCGCTTTCCACCCTGCGGGCTCGGCTGGCCAGTTTCGCCGACAACAACCCCGCGCCCCCCGTTCCCCCCTTTCCTTTGCTCAGGCCGCGCAAGAAGAAGCACAGTGGATACCAGAGCGGACGAATACGAGCAAGCTCACGCCGGCCCAGTCCCCAAGGTGCCTCGCCCTTACCCAGGGAAACCCCCTCGCCGGTCCTGTTCACACAGGCGGACCAGCACCCCTCTCAGGGAGAGGCCGGTCTCGTCTCTTTTGGGGGATCAGACGAGGAGGACGAAAAGGATGACAGCCTTTCTCTCGCTGCATCCGAATGCGAGGAGTGGACGGGCCCCATGGCCGACGCCGCACCCTCTACACAAGCCAGCAGGAGCGACATGAGAACCAGCCTTAACGCAGAGCTTCTCCGCGTGCTGACTAAGGCCGTTGAAGACCTCGGGCTCGAGTGGTCTTCGCCTCAGCAGAGGCCTGCTCTTTTCTTTCCTGAGGTACACGACGAGCTAACAAAGTGGTGGAAGGCGCCATATTCAGCTCGTCTAAAGCCTTCCAGCTCCTCAACGCTCTCGACTGTCGGCTGACGGCGCTGTGGAGAAAGGATATGAAACAATTCCTCCCCTCGAGGAAGGGGTGGCCGCACACCTCTACCCGCCCACCGCTATGGAATGGAAAGCTAAAGCGACTCACCCGTCCAAACCTTGCCTCCGCTGGCCAAGCTGGTTCGGCGCTTCACACCATGACTGTCCTCCAGGTTTTTCAGGCCAAACTTATTCGCTCGATGGACGAGTCTGGACCTGAACCGGAAGCTTTCAGGGACCTGCGCAGCACCACAGACCTGGCTCTGCGAGCTACCAAGTCAACCACCCAGGCTATTGGTAGGAGCATGGCAAAATTGACGGTGCTTGAACGTCATCTTTGGTTAAACTTAACAGAGATGAAGGACGCAGACAGGGCAGCTTTTCTGGACTCCCCTATCTCCACCACCGGTCTGTTCGGCCCAGCAGTCAAGGGTTTCGCAGAACGTTACACAGAGGCCCAGAAAGCGTTGCAGACTATGCATCACTTCCTCCGTAAAAGCTCCAGCTCTGCTTCTGGCTGCCACAAGAAGGCACCGCTCCCTCAGCCCAGCGCCGCCGGTCTCCCAGCCCCGCCCAGCGGCTGAGGTCTGCCACCACTCTCGTTCAATGAAGCAACAGCAGTTCCCAGAGCGACGGGAACCCCGACCCAAGATTGTGTTGGACCCCGAGCCTCGAAAGCCTTCCTAGCCATGGTGACTGGAAGGAAAATAGAGTGTTTGAGTCCCGCTGCGGCCGGACCAACCTCCAAAAAGCTTTTCACACATCTCCCAGTCCCCTCTTTTCAGGCGGCTGGAAATGTCAATATTGCAGTAAACGAGTCTGTTTTGAAACGCAGTTTTTACGGCGACCCAAATAAAGCACGAAAAGAGCACTTTTCTGTCTGTTCTCCCTCCGGCTCGCGCTGGAGATGTAATAAATGTAGGTTGTGTGCCCACTATAAAGTATGCACCCCAGCACATAAGCACTGTTCCCACAGTATCACAAGCACAGAGCATCTGGGCGGCCGGG